TGTCACCCCTGTTTTTAATATTTGATAGCTTCGTTCCCTTCTAGCCTAGCACCTTGAGCTGTAGTTATAAACCTCTGCTCTAGGTTTGTTTCATTCCTTAGGGACTTTAGATGGTTCCTAAATTTCGCAGCTGCCTTTCTGTCTTTTTTATGTACTTCTGCCAGCCACTGAGCACACTTTCTTCTAATCTTTTCATTGATTAGGAGGGATGCTTCCCTTTAGATCTTAGAAAGATGTCCCATTTTCTTTCAACCTCATCTGTTGGTTCAACCCGCTGCTTAGCATGTCTGTGTTTCCTAGAGGCTTCCTGACGTTTTGCTATTGCTCTCTTAACTTCCTCATCCCACCAACTCTTGGGCTTGTGTCTTCTTTTCCAGGGTGACTTGTCACGTGCCTTAGCAAGCTCTAGCCCAAACAGTCTAATTAAATTTGTGTATGTCCACACAGTTTTGTTATCCTCAGTGATTACTTTCTCAATTTGTTTAGTAGCAATTTCTATTTGCCTTTCTGAATGAAAATTTTCCTGTAGTTGCTCATCTTGTCTCCTTCCCACTTTTGCTTTGATTGATATGTGGGGTTTAACGTCCCAAAACTACCATATGATTATGAGAGACGCCGTATTGGAGGGCTCCGGAAATTTCGACCACCTGGGGTTCTTTAACGTGCACCCAAATCTGAGCACACGGGCCAACAACATTTCCGCCTCCATCGGAAATGCAGCCGCCGCAGCCGGGATTCGATCCCGCGACCTGTTCCCACTTTTGCTGCTCTTCCAAAACTTAGCTTGATACGTTTGTGATCACTACCCAGACTTCTGAAGCCGCCTTCATCTATGTGCATTCCCCTGAGCTTATCATACATCCTATGTGACATCAGTGCGTAATCTATCATTGACTGCAGTCCTCCTACCTCCCATTTTATTTTCCCTTCACACTTCTCGGTACTGTTGCAAATGATCAAATCATGCCTTTCACACATAACTATGATTATTTTGCCTGTTGAGTCAGTATATCCATCTATATCTTCTATGTGCACATTCATATCTCCTAGTATTGTTATCTCTCACTCTTCTCTTAATTCCTCAATGTCCTTTGATATACACTCCACTATGCCTGGTTTTCCTCTCGGGCCATCGCTCCCATCCACCAGTGCACCAAACCAAGGAGCGTCATCTGCCCAGCTACTTTCCCTCTTAACCATAAATGCTCCGGGCATTCCTGCTTCACTCTTTGCCAAGCCATGCTCTTATGTATCATTGCACCTATTCCACCCCCTTTTTGCTGCCTTTTGTTCGATTGCAATATTCCCATACGTAGTCCGGATTGCACGATGGTTGCTCCATGTCCCGAAGATGTGCCTCGACAACCCCATATACCATCAGCTCCTCCTGTCTCCAATGCTCTTTTATCTCTTCCCACTTTAACCTATTCCTGCCACCCTGCATGTTAATATAGCCTACGTCTGACTTAGCTCGGCCCTTGTGCTTACGTCTATTTCTTCTTCCACGAACTTCCTGTGGCTTGAATATTTATGCCCCTTTAGGTCCGTCTTTGGCTACACTGTTGGCATCAGGGCTCTGGGCCCCCCTAAAAAAGCTATGGCTTGGCGACCCATCCTGTTACCACGCTCCTGCCCGTCGCACCACTGTAGTGAATGCCATCATGTGCAAAGGGGCGAGCGCCGGGCTCGTACACGTCTTGGTTAGCTTCTATTACGCTGTATCCTAGTTGCTGGCGCAAACCCTCGATCACACAACTGGCCTCCACTACCCTCCTTTCAATTCCACGAGACTGCCCCCAGACCTCTGGGACTGTGCATATGGTCACATGCACACGCCCAGAGGCTTCTGGGAGCTTACGCATCCCATCCTCTAACTTTCTCTGAAGGTTCTGATCGTTGCCCTTCAACAAATCATTGAGCCCAGCATGAATAATGACTAGATTTTCGCCCTCCATGCTGTTATCTACAACCTCCTGAGCTTTGGCCAGTGCATCCACCATGCTCTTCCCTGACTCTCCCATCTTCCTTCACTGTCTTGAAGACGCCATCCCTAACCCTGACCACGTTAGAGTCCCCCACCACTAGGACCCTTCTACGCTTCAATCGCTGGCTTCCTGTTTGTGATGGCGCCCCTGTTTGCTTCAACTGTTTCTCTACCGTCTGTCCTGTGTTTCTGCCCTCCTTGAATACTGCTGCGCCACCGAGCTGTATGTTCTCGGAGCCTCCGTGGTGTGGCCAGACACTGCGGCCCCCTGACCTCCCTTCTCGCCCGTTCCTTCCCGCCTGTCGCCTTCTCCGCTACCTACGCCTTCCATCTCACACCGCTCGGGGCCGGGGCAAAGCGCCATTAGCTCCTTTACCCACTGCTCGAGCTCGGTACGCCCTTCCTGTTCTTTTCGAAGGTCGCCCAATAGGCTGGCGGAAGCCTCCTCCTGCTAACGCGACGCTCTGAGCTGTTTTTGGAGTTCTATCCTATGCTCGGGTTCCACCCTGAGCTGCCCCTGAAGCCCCTTGATGCTAGCCTCCATGCGCTGCACGGCCGCCTTCAGAGCCTCGCACAGCCTGCACACGAAGCTCGCCTTCTGCGCGTCGGCCAAACTCGTGAATGCTGTCTCATCTAAGTAGCACCAGCGCTTGCATTTTTCGCACTGCACCAGCTCACTCTCGCTCGCGGTTTTCCTAGCCATCGCCCGCCCGACCATCGAACAGAGTGCCTGATAGGCCTACGTTCAACCCTAATCCCGCTATCCAGCCGCCTCCGTTAACTCTCCTAGCTCAACAACTGTTTGAAGCTGCCGCCTACACCTCACACATATGTGTTCGATTTTGCTAGTAGCCTCTCACTAGGTCCCCTTCGTGTTCAGCTCTAGCTCTTTAACAACTAACAGGGCGCCCCGACCTTCTTCAAAACAGCCGCCTAGCCCGTTCACGTGGTCAACGTCACTACAACGTTGCCCGTGTCCCACACCTACAGTACTCTCAACGCTAATTATTCATTAGGAGAGAAAAAAATAATAATGGTGTTCACAAGCACAAAGAAATGAAGAGAAACCTCCGCATCCCATACAACCAGTATGGGACGCGGGAACCACGCCGCAGTAGCAGCAGCAGCATAGGTGCCGCCTCAGAGCGTCGGAGTCAAATGCATGGATAGACGAAAGACCAACTCACTGCGACAAGCTTGGCTTCGGCGAGGTCTTGGCCACTTGCTGAGTTGAAAGGTACTACCAGCACTTAGGCGAAAAGTCTCACAGTCAAAATATGCACATGACGCAGGCGAAGAAATGGGGAGCGTTGCACGAGACGTCGCGGCGCGTCTCCCGCAAACACAAAAGCTCCGAACAGCACGTCCGCTCTCCACGAATGCTAGAGCCAGACTCCCGCACAGACGAGTTTCAAATGCGCTGCATTGAAGGTGGTTTCAAGCTCAAGTCAAGGAGCGTTTCTGAATACGGCGTTTAGACTCCGACTGGTTGTATGCAGTTGGTTTATTGACCATATGCACTCGGCGCGCTCCAGAATTCGTCTCTCCAAAAACCCTCCCCGCGCGTTGGTTATAAACACTGCAGCACAGGGTCTTGATAAGTTCGTGCATGGTGTTCTCAGGCAAAGGTCACGTCCCACGGTTTGGGCACGATGCTCAAATGCCTCCAGCCGTCGAGGTAAGCAACGCCTTAGTCGTCGGGCCATTTAGCGCAGCAGAGTCGCAGTCCGTGGCGAGCGCTTGAAGTTGTAAATTGGAGCCCCGAGCTCGTTATGCAAACGCTCACTGCCGTAGCTGTCGGACACCCCTAAATGGCCTGCGCTCACCGCCTGGTCGTACAGTCCGCTGACAGAGATGTTCCAGCCGCTATCACTACGCGTTATCAAAGGTGTGCTTCCCGGAAAACACCACCGTAGTCAGTCGATGTATGTGCCGAGCACCGGCATTCGTCGGCAGCTCGCTCATGTTTACCCGAGCCGCAGGCGCCACGTCACTTCACCCGATACTCAGTAATTATTTTTTGAAGAACGCTCCCCTTAGTGTTACGCCCAGCGCTTCCCCTTGGGGTTGGCTTTGCCGCTCTAGGAGATGTGTCAGATTGCTGGACATATATTCAGCAATTCCGGACATCGCTTTTAGTTCACCGTTTTTTATACCATGTTGCATACAGACTGTCATGTTGTACATAATGTACATCACATCTGCAGACTTCTGCTGAGGTTTTTACATCACACCTGCAAACTTTAGCTGAGGTTTTACCATGATCAACGTCCACTTTCTGATAGATTTACCGACAGGTGATTCTTTTACACTATAATGCTGCTTTCCTGCACTATCAATTTGGAAAAGCTAATGAGAAAAAAATTTAACCAGAGTAATCCCACGAAATTCCAAACACAAAGGCAGGTTATCTTACAGTACATGCCAATAGAGTGCAATTAGCAAATAACTTATCGTTGCACTACAATTAGCTTTTCAATATTCACACCATACAGTTTCAATGGATACACAAAAGTGTCTTAGGAAAAAATCTATCTGGCCAATTAAAGATAATCACGTTGCACAGCTTAAGGACGTTGTCAGCATTAAGTGCCTTTCAATTAGCAAAAAATCAGGCATTGATCAATAATAATTTTTTGAAGAACGCTCCTCTCAGCATTACGCCCAGTGCTTCCTCTTGGGGTCGGCTTTCCCACACTCGTCTATGTCCCAGATGGCTGGACATGAACTTATTTAGATTTCCATTGATTCAACTGTCTACAACCTCTGAAAGACTTTCCATCACCTAGCGCTTGGGCCATGGGTTTATAAGAGCTCGGATAACAAGGAATAATAATAAGAATAGCATTATTAATAGATATATTATAGTAATAGGTACTTACTGTTTGCTTCTACTTCACTTCAAAACGAGAAAAGTAATATTGGCAACCACCAGCAAATGAGTTATCGCAAAGCCTGGCGGCACAATTGGCCGACATCACATGCGTGCACTCTCGCAACGAGGACAAACTAGACATCAGCCTAATGAACAAAGATTCTTATTCGCATACAATCACACAATCAATCAACATGTTCAGAACAAGGGCCTCTGCATCGAATTCAGCCGAGGTCGGGGCAGGTCACCAAACATTTCTGTGCCATCACACACACTGCGAGCCAGGGCTTCGATGTTGGCACCAATCCGGTCGTGCTCCACAGCAAACTAGCAGAAAAAGAAAAAAGAGGGAGAAAGGCAGATATGAGTTTCGTTTTCAACAAGATCAAAACAAAGCATGCCATGAGGGTCTTCTCTATCTTTAGTGAAGTGTTGTTTTTTTTTAAAAACATAAGCGTTACAACGGAGTACTCGTAGGGAGAGAGAAAGATGTGACGCAACGTCATGAAGGCGGCTGACTTTCTGTGGCAATGAAGGAAAAGCTATGGGCAGAGCTACTGCTCCTGTACACCTCCATGAAGTAGTCCGCTTCGGCTCGCGCTCCGAATAACGATTGGTGTTCAAGTGATTACACTGCACACAATTTGATACATCTGCTTACACAGCTATTTGTGAGGAAATTTCGACTCAAGGTTTTTCGGCGAGTCATCAAAATAGCTGGAGGCTGAAGCGCGCTCACCTAAAGTATATTGTACTACAATATACGGTAGTGTGTTCAGGCACCCTCTCTCGCCATGCATCGCGTGAAGGTGAACAAAAAACCGGTTCTCAAGGCGGCGCTGCCGTAGCATGGGCTGCTTTGTACTGTTGCATTTGATCATTTGCAACAGTACTGAGATGTGTGAAGGGCAAATAACAAGGGAGGCAGGAGGGCTGCAGTCGACGATATATTATGCACTGATGTCACATAGGATGTATGATAAGCTCAGGATAATGCACACAGATGAAGGTGGTTCCAGAAGTCTGGGTAGTGGTCACAAACGTATCAAGCTAAGTTTTCGAAGAGCAGTGAAAGTGGGAAGGAGAGAAGATCAGTGTCACGGACGGCTATTTTCGGCGACACCATGTCACGGCAATTAACGGGCGCCGTACTCCCCGACTGACCGTGAGAAACGGCGGAACATGAAAGGGAACCGATAAGTGCAAAATGGGGGTGCTCTCCTTAGAATGTCGCCGCCGACAGTTAATCCTTTTATAACCGTGGCGACGTCTGCAAGGTCGTAGAAGGCCGCGGTATACCCCGTACAAGGATTAGACTACAAGACGCCCGGCTGAGAGCTAAGTGGTTGACCGTTCCCACGGAAAAAAGCGTGGGAAACGCTCTGGTGGCCAAGCCGTATGACAACAACCCGACAGGTTGTCACTCTCGCTAGTTGCGGGCCCTCTCCCTATTAAAAAGGGGTGGGGTCAAAATATTTTTTGGGGCGGAGTTTCCCCTCAATTAAACGCGCATGATTGGACCCAGGTAGAGGTCTCTTGTCCCCAAGGAAGAGAGCGAGGAGACACGAGGGGGATTTAAGCGCAGGATTTTGCCCTGCTAGGCAGACTAGTCGCTGACCAAGATGGTGTAGAAACAGATCAACAAGCATCTCTTCTAGAAGTTTTTAGTGTCGCTCTGTATTGGCTGGCCACCTAAACTTAGCCGTTCGTCTAGTTGTGACGCGATATTAACGTCTGCAACGTAGACATCGGGACTTCGCCTCGAGTTAGCTCAACCTGCTCGAAGTCACCTGCAAGCACTAGCCTCCCGGAGCCACCAGCGTTGCAACACCGCCGACATCGCAGTCGTGCCAGAACTCTCTTCGACTTCTCGCATCCGATCGTCGGGGACACAACGCTGCCGGTCATCACACGTATGCCTTCACCTGTTTATATCTTCGAACTTTCTCCTCTGTAGTTCTGTTGTGTTAGTTGTGTAGTTTGTAATAGTCTTTCTCGTAAGCTGATTTACTGTTTCTGTTATATATTTCTTTAGTTGTATCAAGTGTCGATGTATTTTGTTAGTTGTATGGAAGTGTTGTATTAGATCCCGTGTGCTGCAATATCACTAGAGTAAAGTTGTTTTGTTTTCTCACGTCTCTGATCTCTTCACTGTCTCTGCTTGCGTACGGAACGAACCAACCTGCTGTCATTCCCGTCGCCGACTTCGCGCTGGCGACGCTAGAGTGGCAGCTTGTAACAATCAGCAACTACAGGAAAATTTTCACTCAGAAAGGCAAATGTGTATTTGTGTTTTACAAATGTGTATTTGCAATGTGTAAATGTGTTTCATTCAGAAAGGCAAGAGTGTGCATGACAGCAGCGCACTAGGCGCTTCCAGCAAAATGCTAAGCCCCTTCTGCTTTATCGTTCAGGTGTCGGCTGCGTGGATCTACCTACAACCGATGCTGAACATCTGCGTGGATTACAGTGGCAGCGTCAACGTTTCACCGAACAGACATATCTTCACTTTATGTGAAGTCACTCTGCCGAACGCACTGGAATCTGCGCATGCTCCTTGCTGGATAACATCTCATCACGTGGACAAGCCTGCTGCTATAAGAAGACCAACACCACAAGCAGCGACCAGTGTGCATGGCAGCAGCGCACTAGGCGCTTCCAGCAAAATGCTAAGCCCCTTCTGCTTTATCGTTCAGGTGTCGACTGCGTGGATCTACCTACAACCGATGCTGAACATCTGCGTGGATTACAGTGGCAGCGTCAACGTTTCACCGAACACACGTATCTTCACTTTATGTGAAGTCACTCTGCCGAACGCACTAGAATCTGCACATGCTCCTTGCTGGATAACATCTCATCACGTGGACAAGGCTGCTGCTTTAAGAAGACCAACACCACAAGCAGCGACCAGTGTGCATGGCAGCAGCACACTAGGCGCTTCCAGCAAAACGCTAAGCCCCTTCTGCTTTATCGTTCAGGTCAGTAGATACTTGCCTACCCATTGCTTCAGAAGCGATAACCGCTTTTTGCTGCTGCTACCATGCCCACCGATTATTCAAAAATTTGTTATAGATATTTACACATTTAAAGTTAGCCTTTTGTCATGTGGTGACGTTGAACCTAACCCTGGCCCGACAGAAAAGGAATTGTTGATCCAGTTACTTTCAGGTCAATCTAACATTTTAGCTAAACAGGGTAAAATTGAAACCGACATTATCAAATTAAACGACCGTATTGGAAATTTGGAACATCAACTAGCCCCATTACTTTCACTTAAAAATGAAGTAGACGAAATGAAAAAAACAGTTGCTAAACTTAAAGAAGCTGTACGTCTTGCAGCGCAAAGAAATGAAGAACTCGAAAATAGGACAGGAGAAATAATCTAGTTATATATGGCATTGAAGAGGCCATCTCTGAAACTACTGAAAGTCTAACAACTACTATCAAAGAAAACTTGTTCTTACAAAAACTTGGAATTACTGTAAATGGCATAGAGCGATGCCACAGACTGGGTAAAAAAACCGCTAGAAATCGTCCTGTGATAATAAGGTTGTTGGACTATCGCGAGAAAACGTCAATACTTAAAGCATGTTTCAAGCTAAAGGGATCTCCTGTTTCGGTCACTGAGGACTTTTCTGCCGGTATTAGAGAAACCAGGAAGAAATTCTGCCAAACGGCAACGCATGAAAAGGCAAATGGTTCAAAAGTAAAGCTGGTATATGATAAGCTGTATGTAGACGACATTTTGTATGGTTGGGATGAAACCAACAATAAAAGGTATAAAATTTCAAAGCGTAACAAATGACACCAGAAAGCAAGTACCCGTAATCTATCTATCCTTAATGTATATTGCCGTAGCACTGTTAATAAACCTGTCCGGCTTGAAGCCCTGTTTCTTACTTATGAACCAGACATTGCTGTGCTTACAGAGACTTGGTTAAACGATGAGGTATCCGACAGCGAATTTGTTCCGAAAAACTATGTCTGCTTTCGTAAAGACCGGGACAGGAGAGGTGGCGGGGTTGCTATATTATTTAGAGCATATTTACAACTCGTTAGAATGCCTAATATTCCAGGTGTTGAATACATTTTTTGTACTACATATATAAATAAAATGCGATACATTCTCGGAGCTATTTATAGGCCTCCTGACTCCTCTGTCTCGGTTCTAGAAAATCTTGATGATTACATGTGCTCTTATATAAAACCAAATGACAGGTTAATTCTCGCGGGTGATTTCAATTTTCCGAGTATAAATTGGAATACTTTTTCCACACAGTCTTCAGATCTAAGTGACATTAAAATACTAGAAATGATTTTTAATTATGATTTGCTACAGATTGTATCTCAACCTACTAGAATTCAAAGTGCAATTTCAATCCTAGATCTCTTCTTTGTTTGCAGTACTGTAAAAAATCATGTATTGTGTGATGTTGCACCAGAAATATCTGATCATGAAGCTGTCATATTAACCTTAACTGATGCTTCGTATGTTGATTCCACAGTCAAGTGCCAGTACCCGAACTTTTCTCGCGCTGATGATGAGTCAATCCTCGATTTTCTGGACCTCTCCTTCAATGCTTTCTCAGAAAACACCAGCAATATAAACGATCTATGGCTAACTTTCAAAGACATTGTTCAGGAATGTATAGCACGCTATGTACCACTAATAACTAAAAAATCGGCTGGCAAAAATGCTTGGATCACTCGACAAACTCTCCAGCTACAAGGAAAACTTAGGAGACTAAAAAAGCAAAAGGCCAGAAATTCGGTTTGTCCTCTACTTGACGAAACCATTGCTATATTCTTAGTCACCAGAATGTAGTCATCGGGGTATGCTACCGCCCACCCTCACCCTCTCCTACATTCAGTAGCGAACTTCAAGATGCCATAAACGTTGTTAGTACGCGTTTCCCTACATCGCCGTTGCTCTTGCTGAGCGATTTCAATTTTCCCAACATAACCTGGAATTCCCATTCCCCTTTAATATTTCCGCTTTCGTCCCAAGCTCGCGAATTTTTAGACGTTTGCTCGGTATTTTCCTTACAGCAAATGTGTACACAAGCAACCAGAATAGTAGCTCACGCTGCAAACACATTAGACTTAATTCTAACAAACAGTTCCGATATAATATCGCCCATAACGTACCTTCCGGGTCTTAGCGATCATTTGCTTCTACATTTTTCCATTAACTTAGCCCACCCGAAAACAAAGAAAAAGAAGAAAATCATTCGTGACTATAACAGAGGTGACTTTGAGGCAATCAACAATGACCTTTCTACCTTCACTGATCTTTTTCTTGACGGTTTTGACGATCGCAGTGTACA